GGCCCCCCCCACCATGTATAACCTTAAACAACACCGCCGCCAACGCCATTGCTGCTGCTGCTCCTGCTGGTTCTTTTTCAGCCTTAAACCATAATGCAGAAGACAATCCTCACAAAGTATAGCGCGTAGACTGAAACAGCGTGGGCGCCGCCATAGGGTCTAGGCTACCAAACGCATGCATCGCAATTGCTGCAGCCACGCAGCAGCAACAGCAGAGCCAGAGGGTCTTCTGGGCTCCGAAAGACTGCTTGTTGACAGGAAGATGAATGCCGCCAAGGCCACCTCCCATCTCCTCAAATGCAAACAAAACGCCCCCTATCGGTGCGGAAAACGCGCACCCGACGCCTGCCGAGACAAGAACCCACGCCTACAACCCTACATTCTGGCTGCTAAGGGTCACTTCGGCCCTAAAACGTTGCCTCGGGATTCCAAAGTTTCAGCCCCAGAGCTCAACTCTCTCTAGTTTTGGAGCATATTCAGCATGACTAGCCCATCGGGAGTTTGTTGTCTATGTGCATCGATGCTCCGGAGACCCACCGGCTGCGCAGGCTGCCAGCAGAATGGCGTTGAGGGGTTCATCGTTGTCCCGGGATTTTATGGCGGTTCCTTGAAGACGGCGTCTGTGGTGTACAGACAGCGGGTGAAGCTTTGGAGTTGCTCCTACTGTTGCTGCTGCCTCTGCAACATCAGCCGCTTCTTGTGCGGCCGGTGGGGGAAAACACGGCGCTGCCACGGAGCGATGGCTGGCGGCAGACAGCCGGAGAGCAACTGCGGCGGCGAAGGCTGCAGCGCGTTGTTTAAGGTGCTTGTACACCCCAGGTAAGGCAACGGCGGCGCGGCGCGCGGCGGAGAGCAGCAGAAAACCCAAGCAACAGCTGATGTGCACCATGGGCCCCTCCTTACCCAGCGAAAGGCCGCTTCCCACTGCCAATGACAGAGTCAGTAGCTTCACCGTCAATACACGAGGAGAGAGAAAGCTACTGTCTCGAAGGCCGCTCATAAACACCTTCGCGTCTGCAATACCTGCCGCAAGCAGCATCCGGCAGCAGTCAGCAGCAACAAACGGACGCAACCGCAAGGCATGGGGTATACACGGCAAAGAGCAAATAGAATACACAACAAGTAAACCCCATAGGACAAGCTGAAAAGAAGACGCACCAACACGAAAACCCTCACGGCTTGAGGACTGCAACAGGCTAGCTCAGGATACAGACACACGAGAAAGAAAGCAATAGCCAGAACAGCACCATAAAGCAGCCACCAAGAGGCATACCCAAGGGATCAGGACCCTCCAGGGGCGAAGCAGGGACAGAAGGCTCAGTACGAGACAAAACAGCAGACAGAAAAACCAACAAGCAAAAGACCAGACTGAGCAGGTACGCTGCAAAGGTTCCAGTAGCAAGCGCGGGAGACAACACCGTACGAAAACTTAGTAGAGAACGCATACAAGTGTGCATACACTCCAGAAGAAGGAGGACGACGGGGCAGCCGCGCAACATCCCCCGCACGCCTCAGCCCCAAACCCCCAACCCTAACCCCAAACCGTAAACCGTAAACCCTAGCCCGCTGCCCCACCGGATCCTGCCGCTTGTGGGGCGAACGCACACACGGCCGCGGCTGCTGCAGTAGCTGTAGCGACGGAGACCGTGAAAAAGCCGCAGAAGTTCACAATATCGGCTGCAACACCCTCAGCCCCGAACAAGGAAGCCCAAGAGTGCCAAGGGCTTTCCCCCGCAAACCCCTTAGGCACACCAGCCAGGCACATCCTTCGAAGACACAAGTAGCACCAAGAGTAGCAGCAGCAGCAACAAACAAAGCAACTGAAGCAATAAAGTGGACCACAGTAAGCATAGGCGAGTCAGCAGTGGTACAAGAGGAATCCAAAGCGGACAATGATATCTAAATATACACTGCAAACCCCCAATTGCGTCGTATATCGAGAGGTTTTGTGTTTAGTGGCCTCTCCGTATGTGTTTTCGCGGTGGTTTCTGTACACCACACGTAGCTTGATTTGCCGCTTACGTCTGAGATTTGAAGGCAGAATCGCGGCAAAGACCGCCGCGAAAGTCAGCTATGACCTCCGAGCTTAGCTGTATGTATACCGCAGCTGCAGCCGTCGCAATACCTGTTGCTGCAGCAAGGATCCATATTTCCAGCTTTGCCGCTTGTCCAACAGCAAGCTTCAGCAACTGCACCAGGAATACCAAGTGGTGCAGAAGCTGCTGCAGAAGGAAGCCGGGGGAAGCTGCGAGGCAACTCAGCAGTAGCCGCAGCGCCTGCTGAGGGCCGCGCGGATGCTGCTGCTGCCAACCGTTGTTGATGCTGCTGTTATTAAATGGATACCAAGGAGATGGTTCTTGATCCCAGGAGTCTGCGTGCTGGTGCTGGTGTTCTTGTTCTGGCTGCTGGAAGGGCTGCTCGTGTTGCGGTTCCGCTGAAGCGTCTACCTTCGCCCTAGCTGTAGGCAAGATACAGGAATGCAGCAGCAAACGCGAAGGACGCTGCTGTTCCGTGTGCTTTAGCTGCAGCAGTCCGCATTCTTCATTCGGGTGTACCCCTGGCTGCTGCTGCTGTGCAGCCGGATTCGAAGGCTGCTTTAGGACCTCAGCGTCTAACAGCAGGGAGAAAGCTGCTGTGTCTTCCGTTGCTGCCGCTGCTGCTGAGCTTGCAACAGCTCTCCTCTGCTCCTGCAGTGCAGCATTTTTCCGCTGCAGCAAAGCAAATGAATCTTCATTGTCCCCCATGCTGCCGTTTATGCTGCCGGTGCTGCTGCAGCTGCAGCTGCTGCAACAGGGGAACTAGCGGCGGCACCACCTAACAGGGTAGCGGCCAACCTCCTAGTTCAAATGCTGATGCAGAGCAGAAGATACATTAAAGAATGCAGAACTACTGCTGGTCCTGCTGCTGCGGTTCTCGCCAGTGTTGCGGCGGCGGAGGCTGCTCCTGCTGGTGCTCCCCGTGGAATGGAGGGGGCAAAGCCGCTGATACGGGTGCTCGGAACTGATCCTTTTGATATCTGCGTCTTTGTCATATCAGGGCTTTCTCCACTACGTGTGCTGCCGCTGCTGCGGCGGCCCTGGGGTTGCTGGCGTCCCCTTGCCTGGCGCTCCACCCTCCCTGGCGTTTTCTACAGCAAATTAATGCTCACAAGCTTGAACGCTCATGGTATGAGGCGAGTGTCTACAGCAATAGCAGCAACAACCACAGCAACAGCAGCAATAATAGCACCAGCCGAGGCAGCAGACATGGCCCTGCGATGCTGTGCCTTCCGTTCTACTAGCATATGTCTTCTTCGTCTTCGTGAGAATGAATTGGCATATAGCTCCCTCTTTTTGGAAGTTTGCTTTGGATCAGAAGCTGCTTCCCAGTAGGGGGATCCTGCTGCTGCTCCGGTGTCTTGAGGTCACTGTTGCGGTATTGGCTTTAGGTACAGCGCGCCTAACGAACCCCCGGATTTATAGAATATGTCACGCATGCGAAAAAAAAGCTAGTCTATCGCAAAACTTTTGTATCTTTTGAGGTATATAGGCAGTCCCTCAGGTGTACAGGCAACGCCGAATCACATAGTCGCATATCAAGTTTATGTATCTCCACCCGCCGGCACAGCGGAGCTAGACCCCTTGGGTTTGTTCTGCACAATATTATTGTAGTTCCCGGGGAAATCCATCTTCCCATTGTTTTGTTTGTCTGCGCACGCAGACCTAGCAACCAAGCAGCAGAGTCCCTCCGATACTGGTATGTACTGCGGAAGCTGGCATATGAGCCTTTTTCCTCTTAGTATGCGACAGGCAACCAAGCAGAAGACTTTGGCAATCGTCCACCGCTTTAATGCATACATCAAATAAGGTTTGTTTGTGCTTGCATGCAGTACCGTCCTGCCCCGGCAACTGCAAGTTGCCATGAGCGTTGCAACTCATTGCAGGCCGCCTACCGCATCTCCAGGCCGTTGAGCCGCTCCAGTCAGGACGACTGCAATTCAGCTACTGTGGGAGGATGCCAGCTGCTTTAACAGAACACATTGTAGGAAATTTTGTCGCAACGAGAGCAAACTTGACTTGGTCAGCGGAGGACCACAGCGGGCTGCGGCGGAATCAGCACTGCATGCGACTGAAATTTAGGGCAAAGCTGGAGCGTACGCACAAGCAACACTGGAGGGAAACTCCGAAAGGGTCACTCGCCAAAGCACTTCCCCTCTGTCCACGCTGGCCTGCGCTGCTGAGCCCCTTAAGGGATGTCCCTGTCAGTCAAACCGTTGACTGCACTCCCCACTGGAACAGGCCTGTCTAGGTAGCCTCAGCGAACAAGCCAGCCAGCTAACTGCACCTCTCTACAAGTCAGCTGAGTTCGCGTGCGCATGCCTCTTAAGGGTGCAGACGTCCTCCTCACTGCAGTTGAGTGAAATGCAGGTCTTTCTTGGCTCACACGCGCCACAATTCGTAGTGTGCTTTCTGCTCAATCGATCGTACTTTCCAACAGGGGAGGACGAAGACGATTACACCGTCCCAGTTCAAGCTGTACGGACACAGCCAGGGAATTCGTATAGCCAGTATATATAAAAAGAGTGAGGCATTTACAAGCTCCTGTACTACCGGCCAATATGGTACCTACGGACCTAACCCGTCATCAGACTCATCAATTAAAAGCGTCCCCTTGCATGGTTATCCACACTACATAAACAACAGACTTTACAGCGTAATCTTCACGCAATGCTCGCGTTTGAGTGAAAAACAGCAACAGTCGAAGGAGCCGGCTGTACGTACACCTCAAGAGCCGACACTTTGACTAAAGCAGCCGCTACCAGCTGGAGCTCAACCTGCCTTATGAGCGCGGCAGCGCCGCAGCAGCAGCGGCAAAGACACGAAGAAATTACGAGCATACAGTCAGCGCCGTGAGACGCAAACAAATGCCAAGAAATCTCAATAATATTCAACAGTACCAACTGGAAGGAATGCAGCCGCTGCTGCTGCACCAGCAGCCACAGGTGATCTACTGTTGTAGCCCACGCAGCGCGTGCTGCCTCAATCGCCTACGCTGACGGAGTTGCTGTTTCTGCAGCAACCGGTTAATGTGCGCTTCTGCAGAAGCTGCTGCAGTGTAAACGCCGTGCATGCTGTTCAAGCCGAGAAGCAAATATCCCTTTTTCTGCTTCGCCCCCGTCTCGCACTTTGCAAGGGAGGCGATGTTCTGGAGGCACCTCAAGTACCTGTATCAGTGCTGTGCTCAGTAGCCGAATCTGCTGCCCAACGTGCTGTAGTCGGCAGCAGCCCCCACAGACCTAACGGGCTGCTGCTGCTCCTGCCGCTGCATTGCAGCAGGAATTGCAACATGCGCGCCACGCTGCTGCGGTAAGGGGGCAGGGACAGTGTCGAGGCTCGCTTGAATCTTGATAATCGGCAGCATATCCGGGTCGGCAGAGAACGATGGAGGTGACTGAGGAGCTGCCGCCGCTGCTGCCGCTGCTGCTTCTTTCAGCGTTGTAGGGGCCCTCCTCCTGTCAAAAGACTCGGGTTTCAAGGCGGCAGAGGAGGAGCCGTAAGCTTTGTAGGCAGTGCCGCCAGTGCTGCCCCTTGCTGATGCTGCTGCTGCTGCAGCGGCGGCAGCAGCCGCTGCTGCTGCGGCACTGCCGAACTGCTGACGCCGCGCCAGAGACGTATTCGCCCTCACGCCTCCATAGGCAGCTGCAGGCTGTCTCCTCACCTGCAACCCCCCGCTGGCAAGCCGTCTGGTTCCTGCGGCAACAGCTCGCCCTCCCCTCAAAGCTGCTGCGGGGTACATGCTGCTGCCGCGGATGCGGCGCGCTGCCGCAGTCTTGAAGGCAGCAGCTGACTTCAGCGTCTCCACTGCCTGCTGGTGAGGCGTGCGGACCTTTCCCGTCCTCCTTCCAGCAATAGCAAGGGCCTTTGAAGCCGCGCTCCGTGGTGGCAGGCGAGCAGCAACAGCGCTCAGCCGCCCTCGACGCTGTGCCACTCGCGGGACCAAGAATGCCCCTCTGCGGCCACTGACACCTGTCCTTACCAACGCAGGAGTACTCACTTTCTGCCTCTGCTGTTGTTGCTGCTGCTGCCGCTTGGCCTGCTGCTGTAGCCGCTCCTGCTGACGCCGCGAGGCAATCAAGGCATCCAGAGGCAAGTTAATCTTGTCTTCCACACTGAGGGTGCGAGTCTTCTGTTGCTGCTGCTGCTTCTCCCGGGCGAGTGCGCCCTGTTGCTGCTGCTGTGGCCGTGCGTTGTGTTTGTTCTGCTGCATCGGCCTCTGACTAAATCTCACCTGCTGCTGCTGTTGCTGTTGCTTCACCGGTTTCTTGAACAGGCCGCCCCTCCTGTTGGTGCGCTGTGGAGCTGCGCCCTTCTGGGGGCTGTTCAGGGAGGAACCCCTGGGGCCTCTCCGCTGCATCTTGATCAGCTCATCAAGCGAGCATCCAATCTTTGCTTGGACGTCCATGTTCCCGACTTCGCTGCTGTTGATGCTACCGCTACTGCTGCTACTCTTTTGTACGCCTGCTGCAATGCAGCAAATGCCGCAAGCTCCCTTGAGGTCTGGTCTGAGAGACAGCAGAAAACAGTCAACGAACACCCCTCCAAGCTTCCTGAAACAAAACCACAGGCAAACCCCAATCCCCCCACCCCAGTGCTGCAGAGATCTCTGCCACGGTAGTTCCTTCGAGCGACGCTCAACAGCAAGACAGAGAGACGCTGGATAGGCAGTAAAGATGAGCGCGAGAAAGCAGCAGCAGGAGAGCCTTCGACCGCCAGATGCTGCTCATGCTGCTTCCGCTGCGGCTCATCACCTCAGGACGGTGTTGAGCGGTAAGCATGCAACAAATCAGCGACGTTTAGACGGTGTGCAAGTGGCTATGAAAGGGAGATAAGGAGGCACAGGCGCCAGCGCATCCGACTTCGGCTGCTGCAGCTGAAGCTGCGGACGGCGCCGCCGGTGGTGCTGCCGCTCTTTCTCATGGATTCCGGTCCATTTTAGTGAAAGCGACTGAGAAAACGTTCGAGAAAGCTCACGGTTTTAAACGAATAGATGGTAGGCGAAGCTGAACCACTGCCCGCCCGCTGCAGCGGAACCGGTAGGGGAAAGAAGCGGTGAAGAGGGCTGCCGGCAGAAAGAAATGCAGGAAAAGAAGAGGCTGCTGCAGCTACGTCCTCTTGGATAATATTAAGCAACGGAACGCATGGCCTGCAAGTTCAGCACCGCGGCGTCTCGGACGCCCTGTCCATACACCCGAAATGAAGTCAGGCACTTCGATCTGCCGTTTTCCCGAGACCCTTCACTTAATAGTCGCCTTTCTCTGCCCAAATTAATAAATAATCCACAAGAAGGTGAAGAAAACACGTAAAGCCACCACCCTCGTTACTGCTGTGCTCACAGTATAGACACCGGAAAACCCCGCCGCAGCGGCTTCCGCCAGAGTCAGCAGGTGGTGCAGCTTCAGCTTGCGCGGCGGCAGGGAGTAGCTTTCTTCAGGTTTTCACGTAAAAGCGAGGTATTGTTGGGGGTATAAGTGGATTTTGTTTGCCCCTGCTACAGGAATTATAGCTCTAGGGCGTTACCGCGAACACCAGTAGGTATTAGCCGAGGCATCTGCTGCTCGGTCATGCCCTTAGTGAGCAGCCCCACAGAAGACGAACGAGTTTTCTCAGCTCCCTTAGGGGTCTGCACCATGTTGCAGTAAATAAAGCAGGTAGAAATAAGAACAGCGACCCCAGCTACTAGCAGAAGAGAAATTGTTGGCACACCACGCAAGTTTGGACGAGTTCTGGACGGGGGCAGCGTACGAGGGAAATTGGGTGGACGAAAATATATGGCCGAGCGCCTTTATTGCGCAGTCAGAGGAGCATCGGCTCAGAATCGTGATAAATATGGAGATAGGCTGATTGCGGAGGGGGCTTTTACTTTCTCGCGTGCTTGCGGAGGCTTGGGGCGTGGAGCACCGAGGGTTTGTGAGATAAGGATTTGCAAATCTACACAGGGGCGAACAATTATTTCGCGTTTTCAGAGGGCCGTTCCAGAGAACGGGCAGCGACAAACTCACAACAAATGCGAAACGACCTGGCCTTGCAGGTCAGCATCACGCCGTGGATGCCTGCTGCTTTGCACAATGGGAATTTCTCTAGAGACTGTCTCAGCCACTGCATCTGCAAACTGTGGATAAATCCGTTACATGGGGGCGAGGCTGCTTGTAAGGTCGCTGTCTGACAGGTACCATGCGACGCACGACGGTGCATTGCAAGCAGGTGTTGTCTATCCAGCCGGGGAGGAAGGTAGAGCAGCAAGCTAGACAGGCTAATAGGAAAGAGGAGAGGAGCTGAACCGAGGTGTCTTACAGCCAAGCACCCAGATGGTACACGGACGTCCTGAACCTATCTGTCTATAGAACTATGTCCTGAATAAGTTGAATTGATGCATGCACAGCTGGGCCATGAAAGCCCGAAAGTGCAAGTTGGCCCCAATTTGGCAGACGGGACGAAATCTGTTTAGGGTAAAAGGCAAACAGCTGAGCTGGGCCCCACGTCGTGTGCAGCTGTGCTGTTGTTCTCCGCATATTGGTGCGTGTGTGTTGGGGGCTTGTTCAGCGAGTAAAGGGAGAAAAGCAAACATATGGAATACAAGGAAGGGCGGCCGTCGCCCCGCCAGCCATTAAGAAACCTCGCATGCATATGGCCCGTGCTGCGAGGGCCTTGCTGCACAAGATGAGCAGAGAAGCAACAGAGGAAGCACACCTAACAGCGTGTTTTCTTCCGCTTATTGTCAACAAACCCCAGAAGGATGATACCTCTGCAGGGACACCCTTTCAGCAATAATAAACAAGCACTTAACAAACTAAACCAACAAGAGCTCGGCGACGCGACGCCGTCTTGTGTACTTTTGCAGGGGAGCAAACCTATAAAGGGGGCGGACACACAGCTGGAGTCCTTCGGGAATCAGGAGCACGACAAAGGCTGGAGGGCGTGCATACACCCTAACTAGACAAACCGACGCGCATCTGCCGCTTGCGCTCCAAATCCGCATTTTCCTTCTCTAACGTCTGCGCTGGGCCGCCCAGCGGCCACAGCGTTGAGACACCTGAGCAGCGAGTGGAGCCGAGATATCTCGCAGCTTTCGCATGCAAACACCAAACAAACAGCCAAAAACAAGTAGAAGACAACCAAACTGAAACGGGCTCCTGACAAATGAAAGCTAAACAACGCCCAGAGAAGACGCCTCCGACGCTGGCAGCGGGACCGCACGGGGTCGAACCGCGTACGCGGAATAATAATAATACCCATAATAATACAGCAGAGAACATCACTGAAGTGCCTACTGCAGGCAGAGCCAAGTCGGCTCACGAGCTGTCCATACACCCGAGACAAAATGGGTTCAAACCATCTGAGAAGAAAACGGAGAGCAGCCAAACAGCGCCCTCGATTTCAAATATGCCGAAGAGGACAAACACTGAAATCTTGAAGAGAAGAAGACGAAACCGGGAGAAGGGCGCCGTTGCAGTCCCCCAGATCCACGGGGACCAAAGAGCTGCAGGACTTGCTGTTGTCTCTGCGTCTTGTCCTTTCTGCCGAAACACAGCACGCGGAAAGTGTGAAGCCCCGTTATCTTCGCCTCTGGCGTTAAACAAAATTGTTACTGCTCTAAGGGGCCCCCTCTCCATTTGTCTGCGAGACAGTCATGGCCTGTAGCTGAGCAGCGAGCTGCAACAGAATAGCCGTCTCTGCAGGTACACCTGGGGACGAAGGAGACTCCACAATAGGGAGTTTTTCAGGCTGCTGCATGGAGCGCTTGCTGCTGCTACGGCCGCGTTGTCTAGGGCGTGTGCCTGCGGCCCCTCCGCGTGAGAGCGCCCCTAGGGGGGGCCCTCCTGCCGAGATGGTGCTACTTTGCGTCCGTTGCTGCTGCTGTTTGTTATGCACGTTCATCAGCCCTCCACGCGCCCTCTCGCCTGTGCCTGCGGAGTTGATGAGACACCTGGGAGTCTGTCTACCGCTCCAAGTCGACAAATTTCCTGTCCTTGCTGCCTCTCTCTCGTCGAAGAAGTCGCGGCGGCCCAGCTGCAGAGCCCGGTGGCGATACAGAAGAAGCTCCACCTCGCCGTGTGCATGGGTGCACCTTTCATTTTTGAGACAATTACCCGACAGCCACGAACGACACATGTTTGTCTTGTAGTGGTTGGCAGTTCGGCGCAACTCCTGCCGACTATGAGCAAACGTACAGCTGCCCCCCTCCAGAACTGCAGCACAACACCAGATAAATCCGAAGCACCCGCGCATCAACTTGCAGCATGCACGAGTGCATGTACACGCAATAGAAAAACAGACTACAGTATGCAGTGACAGTGGGTGCAATTCACGCCGTTGGAGCGCTGTAGCTGCTGTCGCTGCCACAACCCCACGAAGATCACACAAGCTGGAGCAGCGGCGAAAGATCCCCAAGGCAAAACGGTAGTAATATAAAAATTACATGCATTTACTGCACTTGAATATATTACCACAGCGGACTTCTAGGGCATTAAAGTACGTTGTGTCCGCGAGGTCCACAAATTACTGTAGCTGCATTCCAAGGAGCGCACGACGTACTTCTTGGGCATATCTCGCCTGCTTTTATTGCAGGGCACATCATTGTCTTGGAGAGGTGAGGCGGAGGCCGCAATTCTTCTTCGGAGTGCGCGAAGGGGCAGTTCAGTCCGTTGCGGCAGTATCCTGAGGCAAGATGCCTGCAGAGCTGTGTCTTGTGGAACGCACGGCGTCTGTCAGCCACAATGGTGTGTTCAAGAGGGAGACAGCTGAGGAGCGGATGCGACAGAGACAGCAGCTGACTCTTCAGGTCTCCAGTGAAGGCTGGTGAACCTGCAGACAGCTCCAAAGCGGCAGAAGGCGCCGATGAAACGGTCGAGTGCGAAGCCAGAGAAACAGCCTCATCACTACGCCGATCGCCCAAAGAACTCTTCAGCAAACTGGGGCGCGTTGTGTCGGCGTTCGTCGTAGCCGAGAAGAGCAGCGCCGGCCGGTACGCGGGAGAAACAAGGGGCCTTGAGATGCTTGAGGAGGACCCGGCGAGGTTCCCACCTTCAGATGATCCCGGCAACAATGCTCCCAAAGGGAGAGCTGCGGGAACATCATGCGGAGAAGACATTAAAAAGAGGAAAGTCTGAACAGAAGGTCACACCCACGCCCTCCAGATCTCAAACCGGGCCTCCAGCGCTCCGCCGGTTGGTGGTCATGCGCCGCGACCTCCCAAAGAGGAATAACAAACGGAGGAGGAGAATAGAACGAGGCTTTTAGCGTTGTGCAACGAGAGAAAACAGCCCTTGCACGAACGCCCACGTCCACGGGCCAAACCAGCAAAACGCCACGGAGGGATCAGACACTCCGCGGAGTGCAGCTTCTACAGAAATTTCGGTGTCCCGAGACTGCGGGAGCCGATTTCGCACATAATGGAGGGAATTCGTATAAAATGCGCTGCAAACCCTGCATGCAAGGGAAGAAATGGGGCTGAAGTGTGGGGAACGGGTGTAGACACGAGCGCCGCAGCCTCCATACCACAAGATCCAGGAGAGGGTCTCCACAAGTAGCAAGGCAACCCTAAGATTAAAGTACAGTAGAAAGCTATTTGCATAGCCAGCCTTGTCTATGAAAATGGTCCAATTCCTCCCGAACTATCAGTGCCGTTGCTGCTCATGCGTGCTCGCAATTGGCAGAGGGTAGCAAGCAACGCAGCGCCAGGAGGCAGAAATGATTATTTTGGCCCCCCGGCAAACTTCGTTCGCATTATTGACAAAAACAGAGGTGCCTCTTGTTCCTAACACTGTAAATCCAGCGAGGTTCCAGGGGTTTTTTTGTGTGCCCTTCCGGCGGGAATCTTGCAGTATGGGCTGTTTATACTTGGGTATAGGTATCGCTACTTTCCAGCAAAGTGCAACCTCAAGACGTCCCAGTTGTATATGGCGCTAGTGTGCTCGTCAAAATGGTGTGGTTGTGCTTGGATGCGCGGTTGTCTTCCTGCAATTATGGGAGTGTACTACAATCGGTTTCAAGCTGGCAAGCGTGCCCGAATTTAGCACGATTCCTTACTCTCTCTTAGTAATCAACCATATCCAACGCTGCAAACAAGCAGCCTGCATGCATGTAGAGGCCTTCAACAATGGTCAACAGTATTAACATTCGGCGGAGGAAGCGCTGTTGTGCTTGCATGTGCGGTGAAGGGATAGTTGCAGTGTAGTAACTCACATCAAGCACCTTATTCTCCCGCAGCTGCAGGCGATTGGACCGTTGTGCGCAGGGCTCCTGAAGACTGAGGCGGGAGGTAAGCTCCTTTTGCAGGAAAAAAATTTGAAGCATTTTGGCTTCAAAGAAGTTCGCAACATCTCTTTGATCTGTAAAATTACTCCTGCATGCAACGAGGTGTGCTGCAACTGACTGAAGACCTCCGCCTCTTCGCACTAGCCCCCCTGGCGCCTCTGCACCCAGGATACCTGGAAACTAGAGGAGAGCACACCTGCTTCTACCATGTTGCAAACCACCTTGTTACAGCCGGTGCTGCAAGACAACCCCGAACGATCACACTGCCAATCCACCCTTGGTGCACGCGCAAACCCTGTGGAAAATTGTTCAGCAATTACTTGGCACTCAGGAGACAACCTGCACGCGACTCCAAATGCAAATTCCAGGCACTTCATGCCATGCAGTGCCCCAATCGACGATTTTGTTCGCACGTAAATATCAGAGCGTCGTTGATCAGGGATGGCTCTCGTAGGCAAAGGACATCCCACTGCTGTATGGAGCGTTTCATGCCACTGATTAGTCGCATATACGCTTCCTCCGGGACACCTATATTGGTATTCGCCCACACTCTTTGCCAAAAAACTCAGCCTTTTGCTACATTGGAGTAATCGAGATCTATCAGGGTCTACCGCCTAGCCTGAAAGTCCGCAACGATTGACCGCTTCGCCGAACTGTAATGTGCCCATTATTCGCTCCTCCTGTAGTATACAGTCTTCCTACAGTTATGCCACGATGCGGAAGCTGGTGAGGAATTTCTTTATTGTCTGAAGTTCTACCTCAAAACTCACCCAAAGTCTCCTGAAGCAAATTGCATCTTAAGAGGGTGGGTACTATACGGCAACCGCATATTTGTCTATGCACTGTTGTCTGTTTTGTCTGTTGTAACTGAATTCTGTGTCGAAGCGGGGACAAGCACCTAACGCAGCAAGTATTTGAAGGGCGCTTCGAGGGAAGCCACAAAGGGAGTCGGAAAACATCATGGTTCAAGGGTATTATACATTGCAGGGATGGGGCACAATGAGCTGAAAAATCCGCATGCAGAGCCAGCCCTCTTTAGCTCTCTGCTCAACCACTTTCATCCTGAGGCAGGCCTTGTTCCACTACGGCTCATCCTGCTGCTGCAGCACAAGGGCATGCTCTCACGCTCTCTCTTCGGCGTACCTTGTCTCCCAGCCGATTTTCTCCTTGCATCCTGCCTATAGAGAAGGCCAAAACTTTGTTCAGACTAACGGAAAATCAGACTGCAAGTCAGTCAGTCAGTTCTTTTCCACCTGCATCAATCTACTGACAGCTCTCACATGTGTATGCCTGGTGGTATTCACGGAACTCAAATACGCTCAAAGCCAGTATAAAAGGTATCTGCAAAGGAATAAAACGAAGCAACAACTATAAACAGCAGAATAAGCATGTGTTGATTTTCTTTAAAGGCATCACCACCTCTCTGGTCTTGCATAACTCGGCCTCGCGAGGTGGCTAGAGTTGGTTTGCACTCAGTGCTCCGCATGTTGCACCGAGGACGTAAAGGAGAACACACAACTAGAAAATAACCTGCATCGCTTGGTGCCATTCGTATGACGGCGAGCCTCGTGGAAGAGCACCGGTGATAGCTCAGTTGGTAGAGCGGCAGACTGTAGATGTTGCGGTAATCTGTTGGTCCCTGGTTCGATTCCGGGTCACCGGAGTTTTCACTTTTGAAGGGGTCAACGAACCAATGTACAGGTCAATCGAACACCCTTCAAGCAGATTTGTTTTGCATGATTCTAATGGTTTCGTAATGTGGAATTATTGCCACTGGGGACAAGGGTGGCCTGTGTAAGCTCATTTCTACGAAGGTCAGCTTCGACGGCGTGTGCTGCTGCGAATTGCTGTCACACTTCAACCGACAGGGTGTATCTTGCTGAGTGGAAGGTTGCAACAGTTGAAGCCTCTCATATCTCACCAGTAAAGAACCAGGTGTCTCTCACACCGGCTTTGCTGGCTGTGTGTGCGTCGGAGGAAGGCCACCTTGGCTACCAGCTTGTAGCTCGTAGCGCCGACGAAAAACATCAACTCCACGAGCGCACACATCAAGGTCATTTGCTTTTTTCGCTCTCGACATCGCGTCGTCCCACTGTCTGGAACCAAAGCGACAAGAAGCCGTATTTGTAGAAGCCAGGATGCTGAGAGGCCGTGCTGGTTCTCGGACTGCGAGAGGCCACGCTTGTGCAACGGCTGCCCGACATTACTTTCTGTTTAATACTACCTACAATTCTCTCTCAATTGCGGCCTCATGGCACACCGCAGCTAGGATTGCCAATAATGTAGCCGAGCAATCGACAGTATGGCACCCAGCAGCTCGAGGACTAGCTCCTTAGTTTGTGTTTGTTCAGATAGCAGACACCGGGATATATAGCGCAAGATCTGTCACAGCTACTTGAACATATAGAAAGGCTTTGTTTCATTTTCAGGTGTGATATTTGCATTGGTGGGGCAGGGTGGACACTTGTCCGCTTTTTCAGGCCTTTTTGAATCAATCCACATTCGCACAGTACTCGTTCTGCATAGATGCCAAAAATATTGTTGGTGATAGAGCCTCTTTCTGCGTGCAATTTAGGTTCGTCCAAGTGTACAAGTAGATATAAATGGTTGCTTGTGTTAGCATAAAACATCTATTCGCAATGGTTATATCTCGAAGCAGGTCATCCCACTGGTGATATCTAAATTGGTAGGGCGGCACACTGTAGAGGATGCAGCGACCTGTTGGTCTCTGGCTCGATTCCACCACACCGGAATTTCCTGTGGTGCGCTCACAGTGTGGCCCCTATTCTCATGTTACAGAAGTTTATTGTCGTCTGGTCCATGTAGGTGGAACCGTTCTCCATTGTGTGAGCGATGTCTTGACGGGGAAGTGAGTGGTACCAGGTTGACTAAGAGGCTTTGCTTGTGTTATGTCATAGTCTCTATTATTTGCAACTTCGATTTTTCAGTTGTTGTTTTTAAACAGTGAAACTTGTGCACACTCTTGATTCCTCCTGTTGACGACGAATGTGACGCCCTTCAGGATTTCCCGTAGATGCATAACAGCTGAGGCAAGAGAAGCAAACTCTTGTTTGTAGAAGCTTCTTTCCCAGTTTCTATGCTAACGCTGCTTACTTCAACCTCAGGCATTTGTATTCATGACAAAATACACAACGAAGTTTCCCCTCCTGGCAGCGTTGGGCCATCCTCATAACTGGACGGATACTTTCTCCTCTCGACGATATGGGGAAAATAGCAAACAAAGCATGAGCGAACTCGAATTCAGTGTTCTGCAAATGGGCAAGCACATCGTCTACGTAAGGCAATCAGAAATACTAGTTCCACCGTGATTGTTTATGCTGCCTTGATGCTGCGTTCAGCACTACCGCGTACACGAGAGCCGTCCTTACGTGACTGTCCACCCTCGCCACCTTTGGCCATTCGATTCCCTCTCCAAGATATGTATAGACCATGCGTACCTCGGTTCCAATTTTGTGGCTGATACGCATGGTCGAGTGGATCCAGGGCTAATCTTTGGACGTCCAGCGGGTGCCTCACCCGCAGAGAAGTGGCCGGCCTGTACCACACCTGAGAGCTCCTACTTCAACAGTACCCGCTTCTGCTGTTCCATATCTGCCAGATGAATTGCAGAAATTGCTGTCCTGAAGTGTAAGCCGTCCTACTCTTTGCCGGAGCCGCCTTCTCTCTCTGTAGGTGCCATAGTATTCCTTGGCTAGTGTCTCCTTGCTGCCACTCCCCCCACTACAGAAGGCGTAAAACCCTACTGGACAGTTCGGGAGTTGCACTGTTTCATCGCTTCCTGGCACATAATTTTCAAGAGTGCCTTCTGGAAGGAGCTTTAGCTTTCTCTGTAACTCAGAGTAACCCATGGCATGCTTGTAAATATCGCGTGGCATACTGGTCCAGCTTTGAATTCGTATAAAAATGTAGAGGCCAGTTTCTTAATTGAGGTTGCACTGCTTGCCCACACCTGTTCCTTTCTCCCTACCCTTTCCTCTGCCAGGTGGTCCAGCAAGGAATGTGTTGTGGGGTAGATAGGTGAGGGCACCAGGACAGATATGCTCCAGATTGCACAGTTGGTTTCGAATATTATGTCAAGCATCGTTGGCTTATCCTGAGTATTAGTGGTACCGTACTTAAAGGCAGGGTAAACAGCAGGCGGAACGGTATGTCTGCTTGCAATTTTATCTCTACCTTGTACCGAACCCAAATTACTATGGGGGGGTCCCGGTGTTCGCTGTGCTGTCCTCCTTGGTGACCCTTTCCAAAGTATTGCACATTCAGCTTCCATATTTATCTAGGGCCATGGAATCTAGACGTCAATGAATTTGACTACTGCAAAAGAAGGGCTTGCATTGCTTCCCTCGCTCAACTGTCCTTCTGAGTGTCTAATCCTCAAGCCTTTCCGTCTGCCTTGATTCTTGTTCCTGCCCTAGCCACAGGTAATGCATCAAAGGCTTCATCGGTTTCGTCACCTTCACCTTCAAGTAGGGCAGAAGAAACTGTTAATTGTCCTACTTTCGATTCGTACGTCTTCGTGTGCTCTATCTGTTCATTCAGCAGCGCTTTTCGTTGCCACGAATGTGTTTTATTTCACGGTGGACAGCTCTAGACTGCTTGCCAAACGTAGGATATTTGTGTAGGCTACTTACATGATGTGCAACACCGACGCTTCACTCGGGTGGAGGCGACTAACGAAGGACACGCCTGAACTACTACGCCTTCTTTCCTCTCAGCAGACCTCGGCACACGACACTGAACAGGTACGTAGTCTTGTGGAGTACCTGAACTTAGCAGAGGCCGCGGACGTGCACACAACTGCTGACCTTCGAAGTGTGAGGTCAGACAAATGATCCAACACCGCCTCTCGATGTCAGTTGATGCCGCCGCAGGCGCAGCCCGAGCCGTACATGCAACATTCGAAGCAGCAAGCGGATATTGAAACATCAAACAAGCGGGAGAAGTGGAAAGCAAAGAAGCACAAGCAGAACGATCGGCCGAAGAAGGACAGTTGGGCGGATGTTGAACCTCTCCAATGCGCCCTAGCGCAAGCTGATAGCACCGCTAGTGCTGCTGCTTCTGCAGCCTGCGTCGAAGACCAACAGGTGCTCGAAATATGCACTTCAGAGGAAGTGGGAGAAGGACTGTTTTTTGCAGTACAACGGGCATTGCCTTTGCTACAGGAGGCTGACATTTGGGGCCTACTGGTCAGCATAGGCCCTGTATTTCAGGCGTTGCTGCCTCCAAAAAACCATCAAAGGAAGCAACCATTATTGGGGAAGGTACGGATACAGGAGAGTCAGCAACAAGGTAGCGCAGAGGATTCTGTTTAGGCGCTTCTAGACGCAACGGCCGAAGACCGACAAGCCCTGCCTGGAGAAGCAGTAGCCATAAGAAGGCATCAATAAGTTCGTGGAGGTGAATGTGGGGTCGCTGCCCTGAGTGGCTTAAAGGGGCCTGGTACTAACACTTCTAGAAGTTGTCAAAACAGAGGGATATTGTACGAAGGAGCCTGAAGTACGCCGGTTCTTCTTCGGGGCTGGACACAACAGGTGCTTGGGTGACTCGCAGTGCCTCTGCTGCAGGTGTTGCTGCCACTAGGATTGTCTCTGACCAGACAGAGAGCATTACCTTCGGTGAACTGCAAGTTGTGTCAGCATGGCGTCGGCTGTAGCAGTTGCCCGAAACGCTCTTTGAAGTGAAAATCCTCAGCACACCAGGCCCGCATTTCCCGTAGGAAGCAGTTCGGACAGGGACCCCTAGAGCTGAAGAGGTCAAGCTCCACAGTACAGGCGTCACAGAGGTACCTATCGAAGAGACAATCAAAGGTATGTTGAAGCGATGGGACGGGTACAACATGTGGATGCACTTTGGGCCCTTACAGACGGGAGGTCCTAGGGGCCATGACTCCCAGAAGAAGGCCTTGCATGGAACAGATCCTTCTGGAAGACTACAAATCAAGATTCCACCGGGAACAGACGCGTAGAACCCGCCAGATTCGAGAAAATTGCAATGTACGACAGGCTGTGTAGTGCACATGCACTATAATAGAGTGCATGCGGTAACCTCAAATGTCTAGTTTCACGAAAGGGAACTATGAGAAATATAAATACGTATATTTTGGAACTATTTAGATAGAAATAATGTCAAGTGAGTTACGAGTGCATGTCCGCCAACACGAGACCCAGGGCTGAGCGTGAGGCTAACGCAGTTGCCTTGGCTCAGACCCTTCCCGGGGGGGAGCCAATCAGTTCTATTATTCTGGGGTTTTCCTGGATAATATGGACTCGAATATGTTTTAAGAGTGATTATTTCCTTATTCAAGTGGTATTAGCAGACCTTAGCAGAGTCTAGCTTGTAGGTGCTGAGTGTGCACCAGGTTGAACTACTGAAGAGTTATACGTAGTAACAGCTGTGCAGGCTGTTCACTACAGTAATCCTACTAACATATGACTCTATCTACGGTACTCGGTTCTTAGACCATTTAGCAGTATTAGTTCCCTTTCCCAGGTACTAATGTCCTAATCCTAAGCTTCATTTTCTTTGTAGTCAATAAGCTGCTAGAGATCACAGCACAGCCACATTGTAGTGCCTGTGCACTACACTATTTCTCCCAGCCCCAGTGGCACTCCTTTCCCAAGGCTGAGGCTCGTTTTGAGATCCACCGTCTTTCACATTCCCTCGTTGCATATTCTCTTTAGTTTGCGGTTCTCTGCATTTTATTTTTGTGTTTGGGCTTTATTATGATGCCGGGCAGTGCGCGGAATGTGCAATGCTTGACTTCGTGCTGGTGCCATTAGCCAGCCCAAGTGATCAGTTTCGTGGAGCTGGATTATTTGGCCTTCTAGTTCCGAGACATATTGAGGGGCGTTTAAGAAATGTGGATCGGTAACATTGGAAAGAAGTCTGCGGCTTTTATCAACCACAAGCCATTCCATCCAGGGAACTTCCAGAACCAGGAAAAGGTACTCAATCTAGGGTTGCATGTCTTCATCCACCTAATTTCGCCTTTTGATGAGTGTCCGTGATATGTAGAAACTAATGATGCATCCAAAGATCAGTTTGTGATGGGCTTCGTGCGTATGCTCAGGTGTGGCTAGCTGAGCAAAAACTGAAAGAGGAACAGAAGAAGGAAAAAGAACTGGAGGAGCGTCGCCGCGAAGAGGTGAAAATAGAGGAGCTGCGGCGGGCTTTAAGGGGCGAGGCAAAAGCAGCATTACAACTGCAAGGGAAAGAGGAGGAAGTGTCTCCTGCTGAGGAGTTGCGGAGAAAGGCAAAGGAGGCAGCGAGGGTGCAGGCACTGCAGCGCAAGCAGCAGGAGGCGCAGAATCGGCTAAAGAAGTTGTCAAAGAGCACATTGTACGACGAGGACGTGTTCACTCTGGGCCACAAGTCCGTTTTTGGCTCATTGTATTCCAGGCAGGAAAATAAATGGGGGTACAAATGCTGTGGCATTTTGGACAGATCGGCTCCCTGCACGGCAAACGCAGGCGACGGTGAACCTCGCACAAAAAAGAGGAAAAACAAAAATCTACTGCCTAGTCGAGCTGCCAACACGACAGGTAGCCCTGCAGAAGCAGTGGATGGGGAGGAGGAGGCAAATCGAACAAGGCCTGCGGATAGCTCCAACCGGGGAGAAAAGGACACGGATGCCAACTTTCATGGAAGCTGTAGTAAACGCAGAGCGAGGGAGGGAGGTGTTGCCGCATATATGAAGCTGCTGGCCGTGTCGGAAGAAGGGGAGTGACATGCATTGGCCTCAGGCGGGCTTATCACATGCCCCTACAGGCTTCTGCGGTTGGAATGGGTCTTCCAGTGGCACAGAGGGGGTGTGCGCGTAACACGACACACAGCGTGGTGCGAAATGGGAGGATTATCCAAGAGTCCCGACAATTTTTTGTCAGTATATTTGCCTTGTTTTGTGTTAGACTTTGTAACACACACGGCAGGCTGTACTTATATGTTGCCTAATTACAAGGGGGCGTTTAGCTGCACTAGTAATAGCTGATGCAGTGTATTTTCTTGTAACAACGTGGGAGGGCAACTCACTAGGAAATGCGAGAAAGTAGATTCAGTGCCCTCCCTCACACTGTTCGGAGCATGGTGTGCCTATAGTTTATACCTCCACTCGTACTTGCATAAAGGCTGACTGCTGACAAGCAAACAAGTGTCTAGCAATTCTCTGTCAGTTAGTTTACGCAGAAGAAAGGGGATATGCTGTGCTTACAAGTGGAAATGCCCTACAGGAGGAGTAGCAGCATGTTGTGCCGCAACTCATGACTGGCTGCTGCCCTTGTGTAACAGCTCTTGCTGTCCCTGCTACAGACATCCAGGAGAGTTGGGATGACGTCAGGTAGTTTTCGGGAATGTTGAGCTCCTCTCCATTGTGGAAGGAGTTATAGGCCTTTGCTGCTACGTCATGGGGCATAAGTGAGCGCCAGACATGCTAATTCCCTTTGTCAAGGGGGGGAGACATTCATTGCCCTTCTTCCCCATGTAACAGCTTCACAGCTTTTCCCAAGAGCTTTGCATGAGGTGCCACGAGGAGATATTCCTCAGGGACGCGTAGTCGCTTGGGGAGATGGGGATGCCGGAGATGAGCTCCCCGAACACATTTGTTTTCATTGTCCTTGTTTTACTCCATTGTACCGTCCACCTGTGCTCGGATACTGCCGAGGACTCGTGTTGCATCCTTGTAAGGTGTATCATCTCCACGACAAGGTAGCTCACCCTACGACGACGCTCCGGTGATGGTAGGTCTGCATGGTACGCTGGAACAAATTAGTAATCAAACCGGATATGTATGGTTTGCTTTCATTCTTCCACTGTGACCGTCGTGCGAGCGTAACTTCGCTAAACTCATCAATCAGTACCAGTTGTGAGTAGCTCCAGCAACTCTACAATTGAAATACGATGTGGGATATTCCGTCATGTGCTCTTCGTATTATAGTGTGAAAGGGCGCACTACACTCAATTACATTTTACGGCTGCTGTAGTGAAATCGTCGATCTCAACACGGGGCACTTGTGATCTGGAGTGAGGTCACAGCGTTTACATTGGAAGTCTTCAAGAAACTGGCCTCTCCTTCAGTGTCTAGGAGTCTTTGCCACAGCAGTTCACGGTCATGGGCCTTCTGAGACGTCGGCCTGTAGTTAGTGCAGCTGGCTTTGGTTCAGCCCCCATTGGAATATTTCGAAAGAAGAGTGGACTGCCACAAATTATACACCAGTGAGCGGTTTATGCATTGTGTTTCGTGTTTAGCCTTCGATTGGTGCATGGTGACATTATTGGAACTGAAAATGAGCAGTGCAATGAATCCACGGAATAGGGTTCTCAAAAGCTTCGGTTGCCACTAGTGATAGCATATCTATGAGGTTATCTGTCCCTCTAGTCTGTTGTGTAAGGGAATTCGGACAGGCAGTGAAACAGCCCTATATACTAAACCTCTGTATAGCGACGTTGCCGCAACCTCTGGACGGTGGTTCACCACTACGGAAGATGCCGACATATCCTCTTACGCCACACACGAGCCCTACAGTATCCGGCGTCTTTAAACTGCTAAGTCGAAGGACAAATTGGAGGCAGCTTTCCATGATGAAACGTGCTCCCTACGCCGCCAACAGCCCATGGCATTACGTCACGGACCTGTGATGGACCGCTAAATCATGGTGGTGTTAATCGAACGAAGCTTTCCAACTAGGCAGCCTTGGTACTTTTTTCTGGTGTGGTGAACTCTCCTGAAATGGACTTACGCTTATGCTGTACCCCTTCCTGCTTCCGTTGTAGAGCTTGCCATGAATCGTTCGAAGTGTCATCAGCAACATAGGAAGGTTTGGAGAGAAGGGGAAAGGCGAGCGCAGGCTCAGTCGCATGGCACAGTAGCTGACCAAATTACTGTGAGAGGGTTCTGATATCTCCAAACTGAGAAGTGCGTGGTCAACCACAGATAAACTACAATTCTTTCGTCATCGAAGTCGTGGAAGTATTTTTACCACATGTCTCACCAAAAATTATCTGTTTGAACAGGGAAATCCCTGCACTGCCGCTGTTGTCGACACTTCCTTACACCCCTTTAGGCCGCAGAAAAATCCTTCTCACTTACGAGGTATTTCTGCCCTCGCCCTTAAATGGTATGAGTAGCACACGGCCCCTTGGCAATCGCCGCGCGTTCCCCTCAACAAGCTAAGGTATTAACAGCAACATTATATTATAACATAATTATAATATAATATAATTATAATATAATATAATTATAATATAATACAATTATAATATAATATAATTCTAATATAATATAGTTATAATATAATATAGTTGTAAAATAATATAATACAAATTATATATATATATATATATATATATA